TCTCTGTGTCTCACACATACACACACACACACTCACATACAGACACACACACACACACACACACACACACACACACACACACAGGCGCGTGACCCAAGCAGAGACACAGAAATGTACAAATGGCATAGCAGAGCGATTGAAGGAAACCAAACTGCAAGTCAGCGTTAGATTTCTACGAAAATATCAAGCTAAAAAATCGACAACTCTAGTCGGTAGGCAATAAATGTCAGTGTGAACACGATTCTCATTTTTGTTCCTCCTTTCAAATTTATTATGTGCATTTTTTTAAACGGTTGAATCCGTCAAAGATTTTTTAAAAAATATATAAGCCCTATATTGTCAGGGTTTGCAAGATCAATAAATAAAGATTTTTTTTTTCGAAAGGATCTCATGCTTCCACAAAAGCACACCTCAGAACGAAATAAAAGAACGTGTGCCCTCATCAGGCCAATTTGTTTTTATATGTTGCTGCACTTCACATACATGTAATATAAACAACGTTGGCAAGCTCTTAAAATGTACTAAGCCAGAATTATAAATTTTACTGGAGAGGGAAAGTAAACCTGCATCAGATCATTCTTTTAACAATTGCACCTTTTATTATTACGTAATTTTCCTGGAATTTTTTCAACGTTTAGAATTTTAATTTCGACGAATTATTTCTTGAACAGACGCAACTAATACCACAGATTAAGAAACTGCTATAAAAGTAATAAATAATGAAAAAAAAAATGTTGGGCTTTGTACATTTTAGTCTACGTTATGCCGCAGCTCAGCAGCTGACGTAGACGCTTATTCTGGGCGCCTGTTCTCCTGGTGGGGCCACCGCAAGCGTTTTGATCTATACTGCCGTATACTGACAAAACGTCTTTATTAATTTACTCTCACCAGTTTCGAGAAATCAACTTTTTTTCTTTTTTCTTATATTTAAACTATTTTGTACAGTACGGTACATCAAAAGTTGATCTCGCACCCTGAAGAGAAATGTATGTTTGTTACTTTCTTGTAACATCTCTAATCTTCGGCACAATTATAATAATATTTTGTTGCAAGTGCCGTAAAACTCTTACTAACC